AAAATAATGGTTTCTATTTTAATATCCTTTAAAATATAATTTATTTCTGTGATGTGCAGCTGTATTTCCATCATCATTACTCCAGTATAAAGTGTCACATGATCTTCAGAAATCATTCTAATATGCTGATTTATTATTAGAATTATCTGTGCATCCAAATAATGAAAATGTATGAGAAGCAGTGACGGTGTGTGTGTTTCAGGAGGATCCAGCCTGACGTGTGTGTGTTCGGACGCAGAGCGAGAGCAGCACAACACACAGGAAGTGAGCCGAGAGACGGAGGAAGTGGAGGAGCATGACAGAGTTCTGGGTGTGTTTCAGCTGCTGCGTCGCTGAGCAGCCGCAACCCGTGAGTCACAAACACTGACGAGTGCAGGCTCAGAGCTGTGTGTGTTGTGTTGAGTGTGTGGCGCTTCATCATCCCGCACTGTGTGATTGCAGAAGCGGAGGCGGAGGATCGATCGCTCGATGATCGGAGAACCCACAAACTTCATTCATATGACACACGTGGGCTCTGGAGACATGGGCCTGGGAGCTGTGAGTAACCTCACACTTTCTCTTCAGTTCAAGGTTATTTGTAAAGCGCTTTCCAACATGCAAATCATTGCAAAGCAGCTGTTTCTAGTAGTAGCTCAATCTCAAGTTGATGTTCATATGGCAGAAATGTACAGTGAAACTCAAGCAGTTAGTTAATGACATGTAATCCAACAGCAAACTTGCATAAATGTATGAAGCAGTTTTTTTGCTTCTTAAGTAGAATTTAGAAGGGAATTGTGCAGTTTTTGTAATTTAATTTGAAATTAAATTAAAATGAAAAATGCAATAATCCTTTATCTATGTAAAACATTATGATTTTTTTTTTCTATACATAAAAATGATAAAATGTTGTATTGATATATTATTGTTTATATTTTGTTATTAAATACATGCAGTCATTGTCTTCAGGGTGAAATATTCATGAGGTTTGGTGAGATGTGTGTGTTTTCACGTAAATAAGCAGCATTTGCGTGATGACGAGACTGGGTTTGTTTGTCAGTGAAGAGCACATTAGAGTACGAGACGAGCTGTGGTGATGGGTTAGTGGTGTGTGTGTGGAGCAGGTGGACTCGGTGCAGACGCAGATGAAGTCTAAAGGTGGCTACGGGAGCAGCACAGCGCACAGCGTCCAGAGCTGATCAGGTGACCGTCCGACTGCATCAACACAACACATCGCTCACTCACAGTCTGGCAGCTGAAGCCCGCCGCTCTAGTTTGAACATTTAACGACATAAAGTATTTTAAACTTCTTAAACGGTAAGGTTTAGCATCTAAATATATATATATAGAACATCAGATAGGAGTTTAAATGTCAATCAAAAATATTTTCAATACACAAATATCAACAAATATGAAGGAAGGAATTTTATTTCACTATTTACAGGGTGTCTGCAGAATTTTTAAAAATGAATGTAAGGCGATGTATGACCCATTTTAAGAGCTGCTGAAGTCAAATGAACACAGTGTGAGTGGCTTGGACTATGTGTGTGGTTACATACAGTACTGAGCCATACAATGACATGATTTACAGTTCAGATACAGCTTTTCACAAAAACTAAAATCCTATACAACAGCATTTCAGCCTGTAGACCATTTTTATGAAAAGGGATAAATCAAGCATATAAATTGTTAATTTAAAACATATAAATATCACTGTCTTAATTGTTTAGATTTTTAGAAGGCACTTTAACGTCTTTCTCATTTACAACTCTGTGTTTGCTGCGTAAAAACATGAGTTGATATTTGCATTGATCTGACCATAAACAGCAAGAAAGGCTGATTAGAAATGCAAATTCATTCTCTGCCACAAGGTGGCGCTTTAGGAGCTGAAATACTGCGGTTTCCCCGGTAACGGAATTATCAAAGTGGGAAGTGATGCCCTCTGGGGGCCTTTAGCCAGCGGTGTTTACACCACAGACAAGGTTTGAGAAGAAAAAAATCATTATGAAAATCGAATTATATTTTCCTTATTATATTCATTATTTCCTTATTGGTTATTTTGGGAAAATCCCAGGTAGTTTGAGCAGTAGGATTATAAAAAAATATATGCTAATATAAAATTAAATGATAAAAGTAGCCTATATAAAACTGCAAAATAAACATTCATCTATCAAGACTTTTTACTTAAGTACATAAAAAATCAAGTACTTTTGTACTTTCACTTGATTAAAATTGAAAACTGAGTACTTTTACTTTTACTGGAGTAATATTTTATAATACGGATCTGTACTTTTACTCAAGTACTTGATTTGTGTACTTCATCCACCACTGGTACACAGTGACAGTTTAATCCAGCCGTATCCGACTCTTGTCTTTCCGTCCCCAACTGTAAGACCTCTTGAAATTATAATTAAGACGTTTCTTATACCATTTAATGTATTTAAAACTTTTTATGGCCTTAAGTTTGATCCAACTCACTTTAGGAGTGTTTAAGGACCCGCGGGAGATCTGTATTTAAGAGTGCTGATACATTTTGATAGCCCCGGGACGTCGAGCTGTTGATCGAGTGTGTGTGATGGTGATCTAGTGTTGCAGATGATGATCAGTGATGTGAGGTCTCTCTGATGATCTGTTGTTCTGTGCTGCAGCTGCTGGGAGTCGTCTGAAGCAGACGCCGGAGCCAGAGATCACGTCACCCGCGGGTGGACATATTTTTGTAATGAAAGCACTGCTATTCTTTTACTGCTTCATCCATTGTCCTGTACAAAACATGCTCCAACGCTAGAGATGGATCTGAATGCCTGTCAAATGCATGCTTGTTTCTGTGAGGATCAATGTTCTGATTAGGTTTTTCTCTTGGATCTGTATTTACTTCATGGTTTAATGATGGCTGGGCCACATGAGATACACAGATACACAGATCCAGACGCTTCAGAGCTGTTATTAGGTCTGTAGTAACTACTTTTGGTCACGTTTTGTACCTTTCCAATATTCCCTGGAAAATGGAATATCTTTTTTTTTTTTTTTATCTTTTAAATGTGCTGTGTTTGCGGTAAACTTGAATTGTGCATCTCACTGTAATATTTGTGCAATGCTCGTATGGGATGCATTGACAGGAAAGTATTTTTGTACAAATTGTGTTCATTTTCATTCTGATGCCTGAATAAAATTTCAGCCTTGTGTTTCTGTGCATCTGAAGGTTAATCAGTGCTGCGATGAAGATCAGATCAATCGCACTCATCATCTCTGTATAGTCACACATCCTCAGTGATCTGATCTGTGTGTGTGTTTGTGTTTGTGTGTGAGAGTGCGTGTGAGTGTGTGTGTGTGTGTTTGTGTGAGTGTGTGTGTGTGTGAGA